TCATTATTATTGTGATTTACCTATGTTATATGCCAAAAAGATGCACACATTGAATATATGCTTTTCTATTAGTGTTATTTAAAGCAGTTAATAGTATATTAATGTTCATGTTCATTCACAACACTTTCAAGTACCATGTTCACATCCCGTTTCTACATTTCATCAGTACAAGCTTTATCCATAATATTGGTGTTCATTCACAGTACTTTCAAATGCAGTGTTCACATCCTGTTTATACATTGCAATAGGGATTGTCCATAAAGGTTGTCTGCAGATAACACTTGTTTTCCTAAAACAAAATAACAACCTCCCTTGTCCGCTTTTGTCCACCTGTGGCTTACTCACCCCCACTCCAGTTGCAGATTGACCCCATCTGTCAAGACTAATATGTGGGCCATGTGATCAACCCCAGGCACTTCAAACCAGACCTATGTAGTAATGACAACCCATTCATATATATTCTCTGGCACAAATAATACAAATTGAAATTATCAAATAATTTATATTTAGGGATGACCCATAAAGGACATATGCAAAACATACTGGAATACATGCAGTAGGCCCAAAAAAATACTAGCTGGTGGATGTCTGCAATGTCCTTTGCACCCCCTTACCAGTGCCGGATTTAGACGAAGTGAGGCACTAAGCTGTGGGAAGCTATAGAGGCCATATTTGGTATAAAATAAATTTGAGGGGCCCCTTCAAGCTGAGTTCAGACTTTGGGGCCCTAAGTTGTAGCTTGTTTAGCTTATGCCTAAATCTGGTACTGCCCCTCCTCCTTATCCGCATTTGAACTAACCTTCCCTCCCCCCCATATTTGTGGACAGCCTTTATTGATGATCGTGTCATACACTATATATTTCTTAATTAATTCCCTCAGGGGCATTACATTTTCCAAAATGTTGGGCATTTATTAGGGCACAATAATGAAAGCTACTCAAGTTATTCTTTTGATGTACTCTTATGATGACCACATGTATATCTGGGGGTCTTTCAGCTACTGAATTCAGCCATTGTAAATATCAGCATGGATTGAATGATCAGTTGATCAGCACACCTGTCTAAAGTAGGACTTGTAAGACTTTGACCTGCACAGCACCTAATCTAATACCTTCCTAAAATTAGCGAAGTTCGCAAATGGGAAATGTGCACCAGTTACACCCACAGTTACACCCACATGCACAAAATCTACAAAAGGGGAATGAACCCACATATTTTAGACATTAAATCTTATTGAATGCCCTGCATTTAAAGCAGACTGTTAAAACTCTTTTATTTGGTACAGTAGTTTTACCTCTGCAACTGATTAAATCAAAACTATTGATGTGCCATAGTTTTTCGGTATTTAACCTAAGTCTAGGTTGCAAGACAGCATGTAGTGAAATGATGGCATCTTATTCATCTATATTCACAGGGTAAACAGCCAGAAATCTGTTTTTAAATTTAATTTTTAATTGCAATGTGGAAAAATGAGTTTTTGATCTCTGAAATGATCTACTATATATTTCATTTAGTTCAGCAGTTCACAAAAGAATTTCTTGCCAAACATTTACCTTGTGTTTTCAATTTATTCAACATTTATTTCAGGCTCATTTTTTATATAAACTATTATGATGTAATTTCAAACTATATGTATTTTACATCTTTTACAATGATATTACTTTTTTGCACCATTCAACTTGTGATTATTGTTTTTTATTCATTTACCATATTCTGTAAAGATCATAAGGAAAATCTATGCTTTTCAAATAAAGTTTGATTCCTTTTCTGTAAGTTTCAAAATAACTTGTTGCTTATATTTCTAAATAATTGTTGTATGTGTTGTTTTTAAGTAATTGTTGTTTGTGATACATTACTCAGTCACTTTATATCCACTCATTAAATCACTGACGCTAAATTAAAAATTATACTTGTTGAAAAAAATATCTAATCTGTCAAGAATAGTATTAGCTGAATTAAGGAGTTGCTAAAGGTGAGGTGGTGAACCAGTTATCGAAGATTTATATCTGAGATAAAAGTGTGAACTTCTCCTATCTTTGAAATGAGGGAGTACTTTCTTCAAAAGTTGGGCTATACTTAAATTTTTAATTGCCCATCTTTTGTTGGGCATAATAGGTTATTGGGTTGGCCAATTAAACCATTAACATTTGATTATGTGACATATAACTATGTATCAATTTGGAGATATTGTCATGTATTATAATTTGGCACTGTTAGCCATGCTCCTTACCTTAAAGATTAAGTGACAGATGCAATTTTGTGACATTAATCCTTGTCTGATATATAAATTTTAATATTTAGATATTTTATATATCATGTATATCTAGCCATGGACCCTGCTTGAAGGTCAAGGTCACAGCAAGAGATGATGCAAGTCTACCTGTGGCTTGTATCCTTTTCTGGAGCATAACTTTTAAGCCACTGTATATATGTTAAGTTTTGTCATATATATCAAGTATGAAAAGTAGGGCGCACCTGCTTCAAGGTGAAGATCACAGAAAGGGTGATTGTAATTCTGATCTGTGTCCTTGTCTGGAGTAGCACTTTTGAACCATTGAAGATATTTTAATTGAACTTTGACCAGTTATATATCATGACTAGACAGTGTGTCACATACCATACTGACAACCCTGCCTTAAGGTCATGGTCATGGTGTGGAAAATATAAAAAGGTCACCTCTGTCCATTTATAGGAATGGTTTTAAAGCTAAAGAAAGTATTTTAATGAGACTTTTCCATTTATCTATCTTGACTTTGGGAGATTCTCACATATTCACAGTCATATACCTTGCATCAAGGTTGAAGTTGCAACAGAGGATAATGCAAATCAGTGTCGGGCTGTCATTTTGTTATCCCTACAGATATCTTGAAATTTTACCTAGGTTCACACCTCCTGTTACATTAATCCAGTCCCTAGTTCAGAGGTGAGGGTCAATAATAGGGTGTCTAGAGATGGGTTTGTCATGAGCTGACATTGCTTGATGGAAGCTCAAAGTTGCAGTCATTCACCATGTCTGCCAGCCTGTGGCCATGGTCCATCGGTCTGTCCACAACCAAGATTAAGGTTTTGGGGGTTTTTTTAACATTAAGCTTAAAACTAAAGTTTTATTTTTTCTAGCTAAATAAAAGGCAGGCTTTACAGAAAAGGGAGTCATTTGTATTTTATTGAGAAATATATTTTATCAGCTTTATGTATCTGCTTAGACCATGTTAAGTTTCATCACCAGCTAAATTTAACATTATTTCTCATTGATGATACTAATTATTAACACCTTTTTTCTTGTTAGGTTTCTATGCTTCTAATTAAAGTTCTGTAGTTTTGTTGTATGTTTTTTAGCAGAAATATTGTCCATAATTATTGATCATTTAGTCTTTCCTGGAGAGCTCTGCTTTGAACTCAGTTGTGTTTAATATTGGGTTTTTCTGTTCGTCGTGATGTGCAATGACATGGATTGTGCACCTAATTTTGTGTGTACATTTGAATAAAATTTGTTATTGGTTAGCTTGAATTTGCAGATATGTGTAATGTTTTAGTGTAATATGATGTTCTTGTCAGCATAGAGGTTTTGTATAAATTTTTAGCTATACTGGTCATAGACCAGCAGAGCTTACAAGATGGCCTTCATCTGTCATTCATTTTTGATATATCTTATAAACTACATTACAAAAAAAACTTTATATATAAATTCATGCCATGGCTGAAAATCTTGTTATCACAGCTACTCCTTAATGGATGGACATACTGACTTGGCATTTTCACAAGAAGACTTCCTGTGATGTATGGTTGGCCCTGCATGAAAATTGTTCCAATCTGACATTCATGAAGGCCACCATCTCCAAAATATTGTTTTCACTACACTCCTAAGCAGACTGTCATATCAAAATGGTGTTGGTCTGTCATCCAATATGGCCACCATGATGTCCCTTTAAAAATCTTGTTTTCACTAATTCACCTGAATAGTCCTATCAACATGGAGTTTTTTATGATGTCTAGTTCGTCCTAAATTAAATTGTGCAAATCTTACATCTAATATGGCCACCATGGCAGCTATCTTACAAAATGATTGTTCAAGTATAAAACAGATGACTTCAACACTCAGCAGTTAAAAAAATGAAATGGACTTTTCTTTTTTTTTTGAAATTCTTTTCAGCCAGTAGAGTGTCCGTCCCTTCAAGGAACTTTTGTTTTAATATCACATTCAGGTAGAGAACATAATAGAGTACTGGCTAACTCAGGTTGCACTTGACACTAATATTGGACCTCTTGATTTGCATGCCTTGCTATGTCTTCCCATCAAAAGGTCATAGATAAGCATTAAGGCATCCTCATCAAATCACAGGCAAGATGTAGTATTTTTCAACTTTTTTTTTTCAATGTCATTAAATCCATTAATCAGACAATACCTGTACCTTAAATGAGAAGTTACCTTGATTTTACATCTGGACGTTCATCTTTAGCATAAAAATCCATGGAAATATCCCCTTATCACAAATGGACAAGATGATTCTGATGTTTATGTGCACATTATCTAAAATATTCACAGTTTAAAAAATTTTTTATGAAAAATAAAAACAATTAAAGGAAATATTAAAAGATGAAACTAGAAATGTATTTTTGGTTGAAAGTGTCCTTATAAATTGAGAACAAAAGAGCTTTATGGTTTTTTCATTGTCTTTAGATCTGAAACAAGGCTGTGTTCAGTGAAAAATCCCAATATTTTAATTGTTAGAATGAAATGATGGATTCAGTTAAACCGCTTGCTCACTTCTTGCATTTTCAGCATGGACAGACATAGAACAAAATGTGGTGCAGAATTACTAAGGAATTTACTTATTATAAAATGAACTGCATTTACATTTATTAAATTTCAGTTCAAGTTGACATTTTTAAATAATTATGAGACTACTGATTCAGAATTTGACATAACTTCAAGTCAGATCATAGTGAGGTTGTGGGTTTGAACCCAAACCAGTTATAGTTCTCCAGGCCTCTTTCAGGATGACTGCTCTGGTGGCCTAAGTGGGTAGAGCACCAGCCTTAGATGCTGGAGGTTGTTGGTTTGAACCCCAGACAAGTCATATGAAAGACTTACAAAAATGGTACTAGTAGCTGCCATGCTCAACACTCAGTATTAAGAGGTTAATGTTAGGGACTCGTCATCCTGGTGTCAGGATAATATGACTGGGGTGGGGCATGATGCCCCAGTGCTAGACATTGTTATAAACTGCCACACTGCAAACACTGTAGCAATATGACTGAAACATTGTTAAAGCTATGCTAAAATTCCAAATCACACACACACAAACACACACTCAGGTTGCCTACCCTAGCAAGCTCTCTGGTGGATAAAACCTTTTTTGCAGCCCTTTTGCTTGGTGGGATACTTCCCTTTTAGCTTTTGTTTTTGTTGCTGCAGACTAACATCTTGTCATATGGGGCTCATTGCAGAAGATTTTAAAGTGGCCAAGTCACTGTTTACCTGTTTCATTGAACAAAGCCATAACCATAAAATTAGATACAACCACAACTTGTAGCACATTTGCATTGTCCTTTGTGTCAATTGTTAAAAAATATTTGGCTCCCCATTATGCTACAAGACATTGATTTAACAACACCAATCAATGTTGCAGTCTGAAATTTTTTAATCAAAGCATACAAAATATGCAAAACTTATATTCAGATATATTTTATAGATGATATACATTCTTCAATTAGCAAAAGGGTCAGTAAAGACTGTTTAAGGCACATAATGCAGTGATGATCAAAATACAGTAACTAGTTTGATCTTGTCTAATTATGAAGATCATTCTGAACTTTATGGCAGTTTGTATATTATGGGGAACAGTATAAAACCATTTATCCTTAAATCTTTTAGTGCATGTCACTCGAGTTCAGGTACAAAGTCCAGAACCAGTTAGAACTAAAGTAATATGAAATTTAATATGCTGGTAGGGGGCTGATGTTAAAGACAACCTGCACATATTATTTTTTGGATTCTGGTTGTATTCATCTTGCTAAGTGTGCTATTTCTTTCATTTTGAAAATAAGTTGGTTTCATTTTGAACATAAGCTGGTGTCTTGCTGAAGATAGTGAGTATATGGAGCCCAAGTCAAACATGATGCTGAATGTCCAACCATGAAGCTGATAGAAAACTGGATGTTGTTAGTAGATAACCTGTAATCACAGGTTCAGAATGTACAAGTCATAATGGCTGTTTGTGTTCTATTCAGGAACACAGAAAAGTTCATATCAACAGTTCTGGAGGCTATTGGTTGTTAAAAGGAAATGGAAAGTTAATTTTTTATTATTTCATGCCATTTTTATTGTTCCATTGAGATGGAGGCATCTAGCATTTATTTCTGGGTGATTCTACAGAAAGTTTCAAGGTTTTTCCAGCACTTTTAGCATAGTAACAAGTTACATGACTCACTTTCACATTTAGAATATAATATCACCATGTTCTAATCTTCACTTCTTACCACTTCTGCTCTTGGAATCTGCAGTTGTCCAGCACTTGTATCTCAGTAACATTTTTTCAAGTTTACATAATATTTGGAATATTATATCAACACAAAATCCCCTTACCTCTGTACAAGCTCCTGGTGGTGGGGGTATTGTATCAGGAATTAAAAATGGGATGCATTGGTTTATGAAATAATTATCACTTGTTTTTCCATAATCCCTACACCAATTCACTTCTCATTTGGAATATAACATCCTCATTTTTGGAATATAACATCCTCACATATACCATTCATTCATTACCATGACTTGTCTTAGGTTCTGCTCTGGGGTGCAGCAATTGGGTTAAGAATTTTTATTGGAACTCATTTTAGTTAGCAGTTTTGGTTCAAATTTTTCCCTGATTTAAGTTCCTGTAATCTTTTGTCTGATTCTTTTCATATTTGAAATATAGTGTCATCACAAACTCTCCCTCTTTCAGCCCTAGATCTGCCTATGGGTAAGACCATGAGGTATAGAATTAAAATAAGGACCCATTCTTGTTAATGTTTTGGTTTCTTGGTTTTTTTTTCACTTACATTTCTTTGTTACAATAACCGGTCAACAGTGTGCTTAAAATATAATATCACACATAAACCTTGTAGATTTTACATCTCATAACCATATGGTCAAAGTCCCTCGGGTCTGATTTGTAGGACATGTAGTAATCTTTTGTTACAGTTTTGATTACACATCTTTCATGTTTTAATGAACTTTTTCTCGAATTCACTATTAATTTGGTACATCTGATGATCCCTAAAGCCCTCTTCCCTTTTCTCCTAGTACATCTATACTGCTATTGTCCCTTGGTTATGTCTGAAAATATATGGGGTCAAGAAGAAGGGCAAATTTTTGTTATTTTGGGGTTAATATTTTCATAACAACTTTTTCATTTCATTTATAGTTGAAATAATAACAGATACCATACTTCAGTTTCTTCCTTAACTATTATGAACATGGGATCCAGAAGTAGGATTTTAAGTGTAGTCTTATTTTAAGTGTAGTCTTATTAAATTCAGTGTGGAATATAAAAACTCACATATCATGCTATACCACTCCTGCTTTGAGATTATCTCATGTCCTTGAAAAGGACATTGAGTTACAAAGAATGCTACTTTCCTTTTGTTATAAGTTGAGGGGTGCTGGAGGGGTCTCCTTTTTAGAATATAATACATCCTTGACTTCCCTTTCTGTTTTCAGCATTCTTGCTGTTCAGGCAAGGCAAGTCCCAGCTTGGGTTTATAGTGTTATACCAATTGATATAGTAACAGCTCATCTCGTGGGTATATCATGTTCTGTAAAACACAGCACTAGTTTCTGATCTGCATTCAGTATTCTTTTTTTTTTTTTCATTTCTTCCATAACCTAGCAGGTCATAGGGGTGCCACTGATGACTTTGCGACTATCTCTTTCCATTTTGCCCAGCTCTCCATGCTTCTATGGGACTTTGAAAAAAATCCATTTCTGTCCCCTCTTTTTATGTTATTTTCATCTCCTTTGTCTGCCTTGTTATCTCTTTCCCCTTACTGGGCCAGAGACATGACAATAGCATCTTAATTTACATTTCTTTACAGTGTTAAGCAGGTATTCATATGGTCCAGTTGCGCCTTGAATTCTAATGAGCACCTCCTCATTAAAGACACAGTCCAAGTATAAAATTTTCAAGATCCTTCAATAATGTCTTGGCTCCAAACCAATGAATTCTTCTCTCTAGTTCTGCTGTCAGGGTCCATATCTTGCATACAGGAATATGGACATGACAAGGGACAACTTTTATTAATCTGTGTCAAATGTGTAACCAGCTACAAACAACATAGATCCATATCTACCATAATGTGTAGCCTGCAACAACATAGATCCATACTATTATATAAAGTGCAACCAGTTACAAACAATACCAATCCATATCTACTATTGGATAATGTGTAACCAGCTAAAAACAACATAGATCTATACCTACCATAATGTGTAGCCAGCTACAAATAACAGCTATCCATATCTACCATTACATAATGTGTAGCCAGCTGCAAATAACATCAATCCATATCTACAGTTACCACTCTATTTTAATTACTTGTACGTAAAATTTTAATTTTTTAAAATTTTTTTTGTATCATTGTGTTTTATTGTGATGATGATTATTTTTTAATGGGAACTGACATTTTCATAAGAGTTTGTTTATTTAGATATGTTTCTAAGCTTTCATGATACTTTTTTAGGACGTAAATGATTTTAGGCTTTGGTAAAGAGTTGTTTAGATAGCCAGCTTTGATAAACAAACAGCGTAAATGATTGGCTGTGGCTAAGGTCTTTTCTTAGTATATGTATTTATATTATGTACTTCACATTGTCAGATGATGAAATACCACCCTTTAACCGTGTGTGTGCAGCATGTAATGACATCTCACTTTTGTTTATATAGACTTAGGTCCCTGTGAAATAGTTAGACAATATATCACCTGTCATTGTGTCATTTAGATTTTTTAACAATTTTTCAGCCATATCACTATGGTGTCTGCAGTGTGACAGTTTATATCAATGTCTGGCACTAGGACATTTTGCTGCAAACATATGGCATAATGTCCAACCAGTCACATTATCCTGACACCAGGCCAACCAGTCCTAACACTAACCTCTTAATGCTGAATGCCAAGCAAGGCAGCTGTTAGTACCATTTTTGCAATTCTTTGGTATGACTGCCAAGGTTTGAACCCACAGCCTCCCTCATCTGAGCCACTGGAGCGGTCCAGCAGTGTCAAAGTCATTTGTGTATTATGCCTTGAGAAGAAGGTATCATATTTCTTGTGCTGAAGTGCGTAGTATAACATACATTGAAAAAGAATGGTATATTTTATTTGCGCTGGAAAGAGTTAAATCTTCATTACATTCATAAAGTTATAGATGTACCTTGACAGCTATATGAGTTCATTTATCTTTTGAATAATAATTTATTTCCTGTAGAACTATACAAGTGGCTAAGAACAAAAATCATTCAGTTAAATTCATTCTAAATTAGAACAGTACAAATTGTGGTTCAGTGTGAAAATATGAATATGTGTGTAAAGACTTGATATGATGTCATCTTCTTCCATCTTGGAAACAACTTGAGTTTTAAACTACTCAGAACTTTTTATTAATAGAACTCACATATATTCTTAATTCTAGGATAAATGTTTGGATGTTTATTTACAATCCTTAAGTCCTGTTTTATATTTTCACCTTTCACTGTGTTTTCTAGGGAAATAAAAATATCTTTGTTAAAACTTACAAAGCTTCATATCTTCACTATTATCTTCTGTTACTTTGAACAAGCAGATAAACAACACTACTATTAAATAATGTGTAATCAGCTACCAACAACATAAATCCATACCATTACATAATGTGTCACCAGCCACACATAACATATCCATGCCATTACATCATGTGTAGCCAGCTACAAATGACAAGGATCCACATCAACCATTACATAAAGTGTAACCAGCTACCAACCACAGGATCCATATCAACAATTACATAATGTGTAACCTTCTTTCAAGAACATGGATCCATATTTACCATTGTGTAGTATGCAGC